CCTTCATACTTTCCAAAAGACAAAAATGACATTTTGGCTTCTTCCCAATACAATCAAATCTATACATGCACCGTTATAAAAAGGGAGATAACAACTCACCAATATGCGTAAGATAAACCAATGAGGCAACTCGACCCTCCAAAACCGTAATCAACACAATCCCTGATATTCCCAGACACACTGAAACATCAACAACAAAAGTTTGCTCTACTAGCTATGTGCGTAGTAAGCCAAAGATACACCTCTCACAACAACATGCCAGTTTACCAGGCGCTAGCTGGAAGGGTATGGTGCCTTAGATTCTCAGCGCAGTCAGTTCTCCAGGCGCTAGCTGGAAGGTCACGGTACCTCTGATTTTTAGCGCAAGGTATAACACTACCAACCAAAACACAACAGGGCATAACCAACATGTATAACACATATACATAAACCATCAAGATACAAGCAATGTGTTAAAGTATATGAACACATAATTAATTTTCCCCGAGCAGGTATACATATATAATGTATTTCAGCATTCCATCACATGCAATGCTCAATCAATAGTGGTGTGATACACACACGACAATCCAACACAACCATGTCATCCTCCACCGATGACCAAGGACAAAACCTCTAGATGCAAGTATTTAGTACATCTATTAAAGACTCAATTATTATGAGGCCACAAACTCAACAACAACACTAATACAGTAGTTAAATATACAACCCCCACGTGTGTGTATTTAACATTCAAGAAACAACAATCCAATTTTCATACTTATGTCAAAGACACTTTTCTCATTTCATAAAACAAATTCATTTCCTTTTGTTTTCACCAAAACCAACTCCATCCCTTTTGTTTCCACAAAACCAATTCCATTCCTTTTGTTTTACAAAACCAATTCCATTGATAATAAAGCCATAACTCACATTAGTCCACTACATTCATTTCAAAACCATTCCAAAGCCAAAGTTAACCCCTTAGGCATTAACACCTTCACCCAACTCACATTAACAATAGAGATTTACAACATAGGTCAACTACCCTCCATTTTAATTTACCAAATCAAAATATAATTTAGGGCTTTTTCTTCTATCAACTACAACATACTAATTTACACTCCAATTAGCCCAAAGTAACCATCAATGATAAAATAACCATTTTTAAACAACCAACCCTTGGTTCCTTCTCATGATTTCAAACAAATCCAACATGGATATGATTTTCATGCAATACAAAACTACCACATGTCTATCTATAGACGAAGTATTGAAAAAGAACAAGGAAATTCCTACCTCAAATGTAGAACCCAGAAGAGCTAAACTCGGAAATGCTCCAAATATCAAATTTCTCGGATCAAAATGTAGCCCTCAATGATCAACACACTTTTTGTAAAGGCCAAAGGGTAGAAGAATACTCTAACTAGATCAATCCCTAGAGAAAAGGTGGGTTTCTAGTGAGAGAGGCTCTCCAATGGAGTTTTAGAAAAGTAAGAGAGAGAGAGGATGTAAAAAGTGATCTAAAATAGCCTAGCTACCAACTGATATACGACTCTCCCGCTCGAGCGAATAAAAGGACGCTCGAGCGTCAAGTACAAAAACTGAACCCGCTCGAGCGCAAGAAGTCCCGCTCGAGCTCCAAGACACAAGAACGAAACACACCCGCTCGAGCGCGAAAACCAATCCGCTCGAGCGTAGATTCCCCTCTCTCAGTATCTTCACCGACAATGCTCACCCCGCTCGAGCGCCAACAGACCCGCTCGAGCGCGACCCGCTCGAGCGTAAGGAAACTCGGTCGAGCGTGAAAAACACTCCTGTAGAAGTTTTACAGAGGCACAAAATACTGAAACTATGAAAACCCCGCTCGAGCGTAAGGAGACTCGCTTGAGCGTACCACCAAAAAATCTGGGCGACAAGGAATGGGACTAAGGCTCAACCAACCTGTTCGAAACACGTCCAACACAACCCAATACTCTAAAACAAAGAGTAAGGGATAGAAATGAGGATAAGACAACAACAGATCTACGGAACCAAGTCCGGATTACAATTAAACAACAACAGGGAATACCGGGATCGCTATATGATGACGTAGGTGCATGTTCCAATGAGGAAGGTATGGTTCAAGTTGTCAACTCACAACAGGGTATGATGAAAAATATTCAAATTTCAAACGGGGTTCTTGGCTCTTCTGCGCCTTGTACAGAGTGGTGTGGGCCTGAGGAAGGTAGATCAAATATCAATCTTGAAGTGGTACTTGAAGGGGTGCAGGTTGGGCTTTTGCCCAGTGAAACAGATAATAGGGAGAGGTTGACATTGGAAGAGAGTGTGGCCCAACCCAGGTTCAAGTCCAATGTATTTCAGTCCATTCAGAATAATTTAGATAGATATGGTGTTGCAAACAGTAAAGACAAGAAAGTTGCAGATAAGGTAGTAGCTAACAATCGTAAAAAAGGCTTTGTCAGCAAACAAAGGGGAGCAGTTGGCAGTTTTGGATTCCAAAGAGGTGCCATTTTCAGAGCCACGACAGCAGCTGTAGCTTCCTCTTTGTCATCCTCCCAAAATCAATCGAGGTGTAGTAGAAGGAATTTAATTGAAGAAGCGAAGTCAACTTTGAAGGTGGAAGCAATTCTGGGACTGCAGTACCAAGGTAGAGAGAAAGAATTTGTGAACAAAATAGTGTAATTAGAGGAAAACGATGTGGAAAGACTTGCAGAGGCAGTTGAGGAAAATAGAAGGTAGCCGACTGCATTTTGGGAAACCAAGGGTGATAAATCAGTTTATCCATGCATATTTTATCTTGGAATGTTAGAGGGCTGAGAAGGTTAGAAAAAAGGGGGAAAAATTAAGCAGTTGGTGAGGGAGAGGAGTGTGGATGTTTTATTACTGCAAGAATCTAAAAGAAGTTCGGTGGATTCTAGTTTTATGAAGACTATATGGCCATATGAAGAGATGGAGTTTATGGGAGTGGATTCAGAAGGTTCTGCCAGTGGTCTTTTGAGCATCTGGAGGCCAGAGGTCTTTAAGCTTAGTGGCTGTTGTTGCAGTAAGAATTTTATCCTTTTATCAGGTATATCTAGTCCTTCTTTTATGTGTACCATAGTCAATGTTTATGCCCCAAATGAAGGTGTAGCTAGGAGAAAGTTTTGGGAGGTTTTCATTAATGTTTTTCCCCATTATCCAAGCCCTAGGTGTGTGGGGGGGGGATTTCAATGAAATCAGATTCATTAGTGAGATGAGAGGGTGCTCCAAGCAGGAGAGGGGGATGAAGGATTTTAATGAGTTTATCAACAAATTGAAACTAACAGATATACCTATGTTAGGTAGGCAGTTCACATGGTGCAATGCAGTGGATGGGGAGAGATGGTGTAGGGTAGATAGATTCCCACTGGATTCTAGGTGGCTAGAAATATTCTCCTTTAAGCAATGGGGTTTACCTAGAACTGTATCAGATCATTGCCCTATTCTGTTGAAGGAGGATGAAAGGGATTGGGGACCCAAACCATTCAAGTTCTTAAATCCATGGTTAGAACACCCTACATTTATGATTGTAGTTAAACAGATTTGGGAAAACAATCAGGTGACAGGTTGGGCTGGGTTTAAACTCATGAGGAAACTGAGGGATTTAAGATCCCATCTAAGGGTATGGCATAAGGAGGTGTTTGGCAATATTGACCCTCTTTTAAAGTCCGCTGAGGAGGAGTTACATGAGTGGGATTTGCAGGCAGAGTCTGGGTCTCTGGATGATGCAGGTATTAGAAGTAGAAGAGAAGTTAGAAGTATGGTGTGGAAATTAAGCAGAGATAAGGCAAGGTTATGGCATCAAAAGTCCAGGGTGCTATGGGCTCGAAATGGTGATAAAAACACTAGGTTTTTCCACATTATGGCTAGTAGTAGACAAAGAAAGAACTTGTTAGACTCAGTGTGTGTGGAAGGGGAGTGCTTGGAGGAACCTGCTCAGATTAAACAGGCTGTGGTGAGGCATTTTAGCAAGCAGTTTAAGGAGTGTTAGTCTGCGAGGCCAAAGCTTTCGGGCCCTTTTAATGTTATTAACTCAGAGGCAGCAGTTAAATTGGAGGCAGAATTCACGGAAGCTGAGATTTGGGTAGCTATTCAAGATTGTGATGGGAACAAGGCCCCCGGTCCTGATGGTTTTAATTTGGCTTGCATTAAAAAATGTTGGTCCATTATGAAAAGTGAGATTGTTCAACTGTTTCATACTGGATTCTAGGTGGCTAGAAATATTCTCCTTTAAGCAATGGGGTTTACCTAGAACTGTATCAGATCATTGCCCTATTCTGTTGAAGGGGGATGAAAGGGATTGGGGACCCAAACCATTCAAGTTCTTAAATCCATGGTTAGAACACCCTACATTTATGATTATAGTTAAACAGATTTGGGAAAACAATCAGGTGACAGGTTGGGCTGGGTTTAAACTCATGAGGAAACTGAGGGATTTAAGATCCCATCTAAGGGTATGGCATAAGGAGGTGTTTGGCAATATTGACTCTCTTTTAAAGTCCGCTGAGGAGGAGTTACATGAGTGGGATTTGCAGGCAGAGTCTAGGTCTCTGGATGATGCAGGTATTAGAAGTAGAAGAGAAGTTAGAAGTATTGTGTGGAAATTAAGCAGAGATAAGGCAAGGTTGTGGCATCAAAAGTCCAGGGTGCTATGGGCTCGAAATGGTGATAAAAACACTAGGTTTTTCCACATTATGGCTAGTAGTAGACAAAGAAAGAACTTGTTAGACTCAGTGTGTGTGGAAGGGGAGTGCTTGGAGGAACCTGCTCAGATTAAACAGGCTGTGGTGAGGCATTTTAGCAAGCAGTTTAAGGAGTGTTAGTCTGCGAGGCCAAAGCTTTCGGGCCCTTTTAATGTTATTAACTCAGAGGCAGTAGCTAAATTGGAGGCAGTGTTTACGGAAGCTGAGATTTGGGTAGCAATTCAAGATTGTGACGGGAACAAGGCCCCCGGTCCCGATGGTTTTAATTTGGCATGCATTAAAAAATGTTGGTCTGTCATGAAAAGTGAGATTGTTCAATTGTTTCATGAATTTCACACAAATGCTAAGCTATCATATGGGATCAATAGCTCATTCATGGCACTTATCCCTAAGAGGGATAGTCCCTCAGGATTAGGAGATTATAGACCTATTAGCTTGGTCAGTTCCATCTACAAGATGTTGGCCAAGGTGTTGTCTAAAAGAATAAAGCAGGTTCTCCTAGCTGTGATTAGTGAGGTGCAGTCAACGTTTGTTAGTGGTAGACATATACTGGATGGAGTGTTGATCGCCAATGAAGTTGTAGATAGGTGGCACAAAGCTAGGAAGAAGGGAATTATCTTGAAGTTGGATTTCGAGAAAGCCTATGATTCGTTAAGTTGGGATTTTTTGCTATCTATGTTGGGGAGTTTTGGCTTTGGGGCAAGGTGGATTAGGTGGATGAAGACTTGTGTTATAACAACTATGGTGTCTGTATTGGTTAATGGTTCACCAACGGAGGAGTTTCAACCTCAAAAGGGATTAAGGCAAGGTGACCCTCTATCTCCTTTTTTGTTCATTGTAGCAGCTGAAGGCCTTAATCTTTTGTTGGGTAGGGCTATTGAGAAGGGCTTATTTAAGGGAGCATCAGTTGGATCTAATCAGCTGGGCATCTCTCATCTTCAATTTGCTGATGACACCATCATTTTCTGTGAAGGAGGTATGGAAGAAGTCTTCAATATTAAAAGAGTTTTAAGGTGTTTTGAGGTGATCTCTGGTTTAAGGATAAATTTCCACAAAAGCGTGGTTTGTGGGGTGGGTTTAATGAAGACCAGATCAAGGAGTTCGCAAAGGTGCTCAACTGTCTGCCGAATAAACTACCTATTAATTTTTTAGGTTTGCCTCTTGGAGCAAATCCTAGAAGGAAGAGCACTTGGGATCCTGTAGTGGCGAAATTTCAGAAGAAGCTTTCTTCTTGGAAAAGGAGATTGTTGTCGTATGCAGGTAGATTGACTTTGATCAAATCGGCCTTGTATAATTTGCCTATCTACTTCCTGTCAATCTTTAAAATGCCTAAGGGGGTAGTAAAAGCTATTTCTAAGATTCAAGCAAATTTTCTCTGGGGTAGTTCTGTTGCCAGCAGGAAGGTGCACATGGTTAAATGGAAGGAGGTCACAAAAGGTAAGAATCAAGGTGGCTTGGGCATAAGGGACTTAGGTGTGGTCAATGAGTGCTTGTTGCTTAAGTGGTGGTGGAGGTATGGTAGTGAGGATAAAGCTCTGTGCAAAGAAGTGATCTACTCTAGGTATGGTAAAATTAGCAGGGGATGGTCTGCTTGGTTGAATCATCCAGTAGGGGTCTCACTGGTTTGGAAGGATATTTCACAACTTTCTACGGTTAATCAGCAATTGGGAGAATTTTTTGGAGAACAGGTTCAAATAATAGTGGGCAATGGGAGGATGATAAAGTTTTGGTACGACCCTTGGTTAGGTGATAGAGGGCTGAAGGATGAATTTACTAGGTTGTTTAGTTTATCCACAGAGAAGGAGGATTCCCTACAGCAGATTAGTGCAAAGATTGGTGCCTCAGGTAGGTGGCAGCGTCAATTCAGAAGGCCTCTCCTAGCTTGGGAAGAAGAAGAGCTGCAGAGGCTGGTAGGTATGCTGCTCTTCACTCTTAGGCTCATAGATGGGGTAGAGGACTCCTGCTCTTGGCTAGCAGAGAAGTCAGGTCAGTTCACTGTTGCCTCTGTATGGAGATGGAGAGTTGCAGCTGGTGGGAATGATCTGGTAGTCCTAGCTGGGGTCTAGGAGAGTTTGGCCCCTCCAAAGATGTAATTTTTCTGTTGGTTGGCTTGGCGTGGCAGAGTTAAAACTTCATCCTTTCTTTAAAGAATTGGGGCTCTTCATTTGGGTGCTAGTAATTGGTGTGTTTTTTGCCAAGCAGAGGTGGAAACCGTTGAGCATGTGCTTCTGATGTGCCCTTTGGTATGGAAGTGCTGGTCTCACATGGTAGAATAGTGGGATCCAATTTGGGCTATTCCAGGTTCTATAGAAGGTCTGGTGCAGTGGTGGAATGGGGGCCGACATAATCTCAAGTCTTGGGTACTCAGAGTTTGGAAGATTATTCCCTCTGTAGTTTTATGGTCAGTTTGGAGATTGAGAAACCAATGCTTATTTAAGGATGCTATTCCTGATATACAAGTTCTTTGCGAACAAGTGAAGGTACAGGTAGCTTTGTGGTCCAAATGGCACTTGAAGGTGGAGTATTCAGTCCATGATTTAGTGTCCAACCTCTACCAAATCAGATGGCAGTAAGGTTCAGAGCAGTAGAAGTTTGATGTCTAGTTGCTGGTTGTACATCTGGTTGTAGAAGTTCACAGCAGTAAGGTTCAGATCAGTAGTGGTTTGTGTGCAGCTGGGTGTAAATCTGGTGTGTGATAGGCCTAAGTTGGTTTGGCTCTAGCCTGATGTATGCCTGGTTGTCTGCTGTATATGGAGGATGGGTGGGAGGCTGTACTTAGTGTGTGAAGTTCTTAGATAATCTACAGTTAGTGTTGGCCTTTTCCCAGAGATACCCTGTTTTGCTGTTTGATTGGAGGCTCAGTTGAAGGTATACAGAGTGGTTATCAAATGTCTCTGAGGCTTTGTGAAGGCCTCCTAGTACTCTTCAAATTCAGAACTGCAGTTATGGCACAAACTTTTCACTATGGGCTTTCATTAGGCTGAAGTCTGATTGGGCTATTGTAATCTGCATTGTAGTGCATTGCGTTGCAGTGTTCTGGTAGCTATGCTGCTTTGGTCTCTATAAGGCTTGGGCTGTAGTCTGCTCTAGATCTATGCTGCCTTGGTTTCTGTTTTGCTGCAGTTTTTTTGGTTTTGTTTCGCTGCAGTTCTGTCTAGACCCAAGAAACTAAATATCCTCATAGTGTAGTTAGTAGGAGGGAGTGGTAATGCTATTGCTGGCAATGTTATGGCTGGGGTAGTGTTGGCCGATGCATAGGTAGTGTTGGTCGGGTAGTGTTTTGGCTGCTGCATTGGTTGTTTTGCTGGAGCTCTGGTTGGTTTTGTGGATGAAGCTGAACTGGTTGGAGTCTGATTCTAGTTTGTGTGGCTGAAGTTGAACTGGTTTTGTGGATGTTTTGTGCTGCTTCTGATATTTGGATTAAGTGGCTGAAGCTGAACGGGTTCTTGTGGAAGTCTGTGCTGTCTGGGCTGGATTGGGTTGATGTGCTGAACTCTGAATTCTGTCTTGCTGGAGTGGGTTGATGTTCTGAACTCTAAATTCTGAGCTGGTATAGTTAAGGTTCTGAATCATGTTTTGGTATGCATTCAGGTGGGCTGGCTTGTGCAGAGGAGTTTAGATTCAGAACAAGGGGATGAGTTGTTGGTGATAGTTTTTGTTCTGTTGTTCTAATGCTGTGTTTCTTCCCCTTTCTTCTTTTATTTTTCTTTTGGTTGGTTTCTCACCAACTGGCGCTTGGAGCTTCGTTTTAGCTCCAAGCTCCTCTTTATTGATGTACTTTTCCATACTTTGTATGCTGCCATCAATAAAGATTTCTTTGTTGATCAAAAAAAAAAAAAAAAGTCTACTTAGTATAACCTATAGGTAAATCTCCCTTAAATCTTTATCTAAAATATATATAATTCAATTTTTGATAATTTTTGGATGATCTATCACATGATTTATTTATTTATTTATTTATTTATTTTGCATGATCAAATTGTTCCACAATTGTATTACACAATTATTTGCATATAAGAAGTTTTGAAAATTTGACTAAAATATGAAAAAGTTGATAAAGACAAAAAAAAAAAGAAAAAAGAAAAAGAAGGTGCATCTTTTTATTAATCCCTCTTCATCTACTTATGTTCTAAAAAAGTCTTATAGGTGACATAATTATCAAAATACTCCTAATAATAATAGGGTGTGCACATTCATGTTCACATTGACAATGTAAATGTTGCATGATGTGAACATTCACTACAAGAAAAAACACTTTTGGCGACTAAATTTTTAGTCGCCAAAAGTCCTCTTTTAGTCGCCAAATGTAGAATTTTCACTTTTTCCGACTAAATATTTTAGTCGCCGCTGTGGTCGCCAATACACGGTCGGCAATACCTTTGGCGACTAAAGATTAGTTAGTCGGCAATATACAGGTCTTCAGCGACTAAAGTTTTAGTCGCCAATAGTCGATTCCATATGTGAAATTATACATTTAGCGACTAAAGTTTTAGTCGCCAATAGTGTTTTTTTTTTAATTATTTATACAATTGGCGACTACTTTTTTCGTCGGCAATTGTCACTGTTTTTGGCGACCACACTATTTTGTCGCCAAAAGCATTTTTCAAAACAAAAAAATATTTCCCATTGCGCGCCTCAGCATCTCCCTCCCTCGCTTCGAACCTGCGACCTCCAAGCTCCCAAGCCTTGAGGACACACGCCACCCCACTATGCCACTCAACCATCACATGAATGTAATTGCAACTTATATTATTTATATATTACTTTCAACATAATATATATAAATATAATTATATATACTCAAATATAATTTATGTAAAAAATAAATTATTTTTTATTAAAAAAAAAATCTATCTCAGTTTTGGCGACTAAATCCATTATTTAGTCGCCAATTCTACAATTTTAGGCTACTAATTAATTTTGCAGTCGCTTAAAAAAAATGTTGCGCCTAAAAACACACCTTTTGACGGCTAAAAATATTTTTAGTCGCCAAAAACGTCCCCTTTTGGCTACTAAACTGAATTTTAGTCGCCAATACTCAGTTTTTAGCTACTAATTTTTTTTTTGTAGCCAAAAAACTTCACTTTCAGCGACTAATCTGGTTTTAGTCGCCAAAACAGCTACAATCGGCGACCAATCTGCTTTTTAGTCGCCAAAACCAGCACCTTTGGCTACTAAATTGTTTTAGTCGGCAAAAACCATCACTTTTGGCGACGAAAATTGTGTTAGTCGCTGAAACCCATATAATAGGCGACCAAACTGATTTTTAGTCGCTAATACATATACATTTGGCTACTAAATGGTTTTAGTCGCCAAAAGTCTTCATTTTTGGCGACTAAAATGGATTTCGTCGCCATTTGTGCAACTTTCAGCGACGAAATTCATTTTTTTAGTCGCCATTGGTGCTTTTTGTTGTAGTGATTCACATTGTCATTGTAAACATTCACCCTGTCAAATTTGTTTATCGTAAATATTCACATCACCAAGTTATTAAGAGTTAAAAAATATATTTGTAAAGTTAAAATTGTATTTAAAATATCTTAAATATGATAATTAGGATTTAGTGGATCAAATGTCCAAAATAATAAAGCGTATTGAAAAATAAAAATATCTTTGTATTTTAACAAGAATTTCTAATAAATTCTCCAAAAAAGAATGAAAAAAAAATCAAAAATAGTTTTCAAAAATAAAACCAAACATAATTTTTGTTGTGGAACAATTTGATCGTTCAAATAAATAAATTAGAAAAATAAAAATTAGCTGCTGGGTATTTGAAAAATTGCCAATATTAAATTTTATTTACCATCTAAAAAAAATTATAGAAATATTTAATTAAAAATGTAAATGAGTTACCTAAAATAACTAGAATACCAAATGTAAGCTTATTTGTATAATCTTTTAACCAATCATAAAATGCCACATTATTTGAATTGTAGAAACCGCTCACTTAATTGATATTTTTCATATTTTATTCTTTTATTTTTTTTCTTATCTTTCCTTCAAATCCTTCCCTCTCCAAAAAGTTTTTCACAAATCCATAAAGTAAAAATTCATAATCTACCTATAACTATATCTATATTTATATAATATATAAGGAAAAGGGTTTTTTTAGTGAGGAGTATTGTGAAAGTTTTAATATCTCATACTAATTTTCTTGAATTTCTTAATTTTAAATAATTAAGAAAATCTCCATTAACTAACTTTTATTTGATAATCCCATATCAGGAAAAGAAAGGGAAAAAAATGAGTTGTTTCACTCATATAGAGAAAATCTTATACTCTCATTCCATTTAGTGATGAGCCTTGTGAGAGTTTCAATATCTCATACTAATTTTCTTGATTTTCTTAATTATAAAAAATTAAGAAAATCTTCATTGGCTAACTTTTATTTGATAATCCATATAACAAAAATGGTCTTTTTAGTGAGTAGTCTTGTGAGAGTTTCAATATCTCATACCAATTTTTTTGAATTTCTTAATTTTAAATAATTAAGAAAATCTCCATTGACTAGGTTTTATTTGATAATCCCAAATCAGAAAAAGAAGGAAAAAAATGAATTGTTTTACTTATATAAAGAAAATCTTATACTCTCATCCCATTTAGTGAGGAGTCTTATGAGAGTTTCAATATCTCATACTAATTTTCTTAATTTTTTTAATTTTAGACAATTAAGAAAATCTCCATTGGCTAGCTTTTATTTGATAATCCCACATCGGGAAAAGAAGGAAAAAAATAAGTTATTTTACTCATATAAAGTAAATTTTATACTCACATCCCATTTAATATTGTAGTATTGTGCATGTTTCAATTCAATATAGTTTAAATTTTAAAAATTTTAATTAATTAATTATGACCTAACCGATTAGGCTAAATCATTTTTTTTTTGATTGATTTGTTGGTTTAACCTCGATTTTAACGGTTTTATCAAAATATATTGATTAGAAATAAACAAAAGATTGATCTGATTAAATATTAAAAGATTGAAATTGCTTGATTAGAAATAAACTTTCTGTCCAAATAATTGTTAACTTTTATTTTATAATTCCACATCAGAAAAAGAAAAAAAAAAGTGAATTGTTTCACTTATATAAGATGAATCTTAATAGTGTAGTATTGTGTATATTTCAATTCAAGACAATTTAAATTTTAAAATTAAAATAACATTTAAAAGTTTTAATTAATTAATTTTTATGTAAGATAGTTGGTCATTTAACCTAACTGATTAGGCTAAACCATTTTGGGTTTGCCGATTCGCCAGTTTAATCGCGATTTCTCATATTGATTTTATTAATTTTAAACAATTAAAAATATTTCATTGGCTAACTTGCATTTAACCATATAAAAATAAAACTCTAATTAGTTTATGATTTATTTTATAATCGCACATCGAGAGAAGAAAAAGCAAAGTTTGTTTCACTATCTATCTACATATTATAGGGCGAATTACACTAATGGTCCCTATAGTTTGAACATTGTGTTACTTTGGTCCCTGACTTTTCAATCGTAACACATTTAACCATGAATTTTGAATCTTGTTCCAAATAAGGACAATTGAAGATACTATTGTTCAATTTCAAGGAAAAAATCGTCAATTTGATAAAATATAAACAAATTTGACAAAAATAAATGTCAATAAAATATTTTTGAATCTTTAAAATTTATTTCTACCCACGAAAGATAAAATTATATAAAATTGATAAATTTTTTAAACACTTATTTATTTATTTATTTTACCAAATTAATTTTTATTATTTGTTTGGATGATGATCATATAATGGATGGTTGTTTTTATTTTCATTAAATTAATTTCTATTTTTCAAAAGTCAAATATGGCGATAACTTTGATATCATTATTTAACCAATTTATTAAATAAAAAAATTCAAAATTAAAAATATTTCATATATTAAATATATTGATTACACATTAAAAAGCAATCACCTATTATATCATCATCATCCAAACTCATAATAAAATTAATTTAATAAAAAATAAATAAATAAATAAATGTCTAAAAGATTTATCATTTTTATATAATTTCATCTTTGGTGGGTAGGAATTATTTTTAAAAATTCAAAAATATTTTTTTGACATTTATTTTTGTCAAATTAGTTTATATTTTATCAAATTGACGACTTTGCCCTTGAAATTGAGCAATGATATTTTCAATTATATTTATTTGGAATAAGATTCAAAATTCAGGGTCAAATGTGTCACAATTGAAAAGTTAGGGATCAAAGTGATACGAGCCCCAAACTATAGGGACTGTTAGTGTAATTCATCCTATATTATATAAAGAAAATGGAGTTTTTAGGGAAAAACCTTCTAGGAGTTCCAAACTTTTATTCTTAAATTATTGAATTTTCTTAATTTTCAACAATTAAGAAAATTCTCATTGGCTAACTTCTATTTGTATTTATTTTACAATCCCACATCGGAAAAAGAAAAAAAAAAAAAAAAAAAAAAAAAAGAAAAAATGAATTGTTTCACTTACATAAAGTGAATCTTATGCTTCCATTTATATAAACAAAATGAGATTTTTAGTGAGAAGTCCCATGATTAATATCTCATACTCATTTTTTTGATTTTCTTAATTTTAAACAATTAAGAAAATCTCCATTGATTAACTTCCATTTAACTTTTATTTTACAATCCCACATAGTTTTGATTTTAA